TGGAGTCCATCCTAGCAGGTGGAGCATGAATGTGAGAGTTTCATGATTATATGTACCTGGAGATTTGAGTGCACAGGCAGGCTGGTAGCTGAGATAACTTCTTGGCAGACTCATTACCCAGCCAGAGTTTATAGATCCCAGTAGGGAAATCCGCAAAAACAAGGCAGAACCAAAGCCATTTAAAAAAAAAAAGTGGTGAGGGAGCTATGCGTGAGGGAAAAATTCAACTTTAGAAACCAAAATCCAAAAGTCAAATATCCAAACTAAGATACATATTGGATTACAGGTGTCTGAATAAAAGAACTGGAAATGCATAAAGTAACATGTCCAGACATTTTTGCTTCAGTGCTGCTGGATATTAGGTAATGAAGCCCACTTTGGGATCACACTCATTTCTGCTGCTCTGCTGTTCCCAGACCCTTCTAATCTGGTATCCCACCCAAGCCCCATTCCTAAATCCATCATTTCTTGATCCAGTCACATTCCCTATCATCCTTAGTAGACTAACACATAAAGAAACAATAAATAAATGTTTGCAGGCTGGATGTGGCGACTGGTGCATGTAATCCCTGTTTCTCAGGAGGCAGAGATCAGGAAGATCATGGTTAGTCAGCCTGGCCAAAAAGTTAGCAAAATCACATCTCAACCAATAAGCTGGAATGGTGACTATGTGGGAGGACCACACTCCAGGCTGGCTAGACAAAATACAAGACCCTATGTGAAAAATAACTAAAGCAAAAAGAGAATGGGGGAAGAGTTCAAGTGACAGAGAGCCTGCCTAGCAAGCATGAGACCCTGAGTTCAAATGCCAGTATCTCCCTCCCCCCAAATTAATAAATACAATTTTCACTTAATATGTGAATTTTCTGGTTATGGTATCAATCTTTGTATAACATTAGCATGTAAACAAAGGCCTTCAAAAACATTAATTTCTAATGTTGGAATTCCAACATTAGAATTCTGGTCACAGGCCCAGAAGGTATATAAACTGGATCTGAGGAGAGGTTTGCAAGCTATTACAGGACCACATATTAGAGATCCCCCAATATCCCTTCTACCTAATGTTGGCACAGACCCAAAGATTAGTATCTTCATCATTCACAGGATGGAATGAAATTCAACACCAAATATCAGTCACTGGTTCTGACTATCATTCTCCCAGCACTCACACCTACCAAGCTTACCTGCTTTTTGGTATGTTCATTGTATTCTCCAGGAAGATTATGCGCACTCTTAATTAAGGTCTTTGCAATATGATAATAATAAATGCTAATAATAGCAAGTGGGATGAGGAAATAGACCAAAAAAATCAGCACCGAATGGATCTTGGGATGTAATTCATCTGTCTGAGGGTAGGGTATACATGCTGTAAAGCTGCTATTATCCAAGGTGCCAATTCGTGCCACTTCCGAAAATACAGCTTCTGGAACAGCCAACAACATGGACACCACCCAGATACCCACGGCCTTCACACAGGTCCACAGCACCGCCCCTGATGTCTGCATGTCCATGGGGTTTACGATGGCCCTGTACCTAGGAAGACAAAATGTCTCAAGTTATTCTCTTAAAAAGAAAGAGAAGTCTCACTTGGTAAGAAAATACTAACACTTCTTAATTCCCTAGTTTCTTCGTGGTGTGTGGAAGACTAAGATCTCTGGTCTCACTCTGTCCACAGTCATTCTACTGCTTATTATCACAGAAGACAGGAAGTGAGAGAAAAGTATTTCACATTGGCATTTCCCAAATTGTGGTTTTGCTTACTTCTTTCACAATGCTTTTTTGAATCTGGTATCATCTTTTATTAAATATCATTTATTGGACTTCTTAATAAATCATTTTATTTCCTCAAACTTTATTATTACTGTAATTACTATAAACAGATAATAACCATAAAATATTAAGTGTCCACAAAATAATACAATTAAATTCTACCTTGCAATTCTTCTATAGCTTCTGAAGCCTGAGACCTCTTACTTTTTTTTCTAAAGGCATTAATAAATCTTAGATACTAATCCAGATTGAGATTTTATTCAAAATCCAATCACAAGAACTGAAATGGAGCAATATCCTGTCATTATAGTTCAAATTTATTTCATTTCAAGATCCCATAAAAATCTCTCCTTCCACATTTAGTAGACTATTGTCAATTCATCTGTAAGAACTAGTAATAAAGGACTTAGAGGACCCAATGACTTAATCAAAAACTTTCTATAGCTAATTCAGTCACACAATTAAGTAAGGGAAAGATAATACAAAAAAATATGTAAGCCTCAAATTATTTATACTTGTCCTCAAAGGTATTTTAGATTATAATATACTAAGAAATAACAATACACAGTAAACATTTATTTGAATCAGACAAATCAGACAAATAAGAGTTATTACTCTTATCCTTGGAAAATCACTTAAGGCCTGGCTTTTTCTTCAATTGTAAGTGGGGATAAAAACATTTTATTGAAATATTTTGTGATTAGAAAAAAAATTATAAAGTGCTTATGGCAGTGCCTGGCAATTAGCAGTTCCTAGCCACGCCAAGACACCATACCTTCTTCATATTCACACTAGAATTAATCTAATATAATAAAAGTTCAGAAGAGTTAAGCCACATGACAACCAGTTAAGGTCTCCTATGGTTCTGTTAAGGTGTCTCCTGTTTCCCACCAGAGATGAGCTACTCACAGTCTCAGCCTCACTCTGAGGGCCACCTCTCTCTCTCCTAAGTTGTTCCAAGTATTATTTACAGACCCTCCATGGGGAAAGGCAATCCATGTTTTGACCTAGAGGGACTTCCCATATGAAACAGGAAATACATAGAAATTAAAGAACCACAGCCAAGGGCCTCAACACTAACTTAAATAACAGGTACAATGCATTTTACCCAGGTTTCCTACATGCTAGGATTTAATTGGAAGCAGTTTTCTTCCTATTCTTCCTAATTGTATAGTCATAATAAAATGAAAGATGAGTTGGAATTAGTAACTAGAAGGACCTGCTTTGTTTCTGTTTTTAAAAATTGGATTAATACTTTCAAAGAGTTTTTTTAATCTGAAAGCACTAAGAATGCTGTAAATAAAAATAGAAGCGTCTGTTTCAACTCATGTCCCATTCACAAATTAAAAGAAATTCCATATCATTATCTCCCTATTTCTAGGAAATGTACTTCTACCACTGTTTCTTGAACTAAATATAGCTCTTGATATTTTATTACAGTAGTTAAAGATTTTTCTCTCTTATGCTACCTCTAATCCCCCCATCCCCATTGTCTTGATCTAGTCATTTATATTGCATTTATTCAATATAGCTAATACATAATTATAACAACTAAAATATTGTTTTCTACAGAGCTAAATCACATATTATGATGATATACAGACGATGTTCTTTATTATAAACGTTCCTGATTTTCTTAGAAGTAATACTTGCTCATTTTTTTATTTGCATAGTGTTCCATGTACCATGTATCTGGATTTTTTTTTTGTTTTTAAATGCTTCTTTACCACCTTCTTGGATAATTGGAGAGCCAGTTCTTGAATTCATTGCTGCTTCTTTCTTATATTCACATTAATAAAAAACACCTGCACTTTCCCCTTGGCTTTATTTTCTAGGATATTCTAGTACATCTTAGCTTTCATTCTTTTTTTCTGATCATTTTATTTCTGTTCCAATGTTTTGGTTTTTCTAGAATTTCTTTCTTATTTCAAATTATTCCTTTTCACAGTATCCTAATTGCTGTTTTATACATATATATTCCTTTGGTATTATCTATAAAACTAATACAGAAAAATATAATCTTTCTAACATAGGTCCAGGCTTTGTATGTTGTCCTCTTTATGCTGAAATGTCTCCCCAAATTTAGATAATTATTGTCTAATAACTAATATTTAAGAACAAAGTACCAAAAAGCTAATTGTAAATTATTTTTTATGTGGAGGAGGGTAAATAAAGGGTAGAGAGGTGGTCACAACAAATACCCTCTTTTTAAATTATCAGAAACTGCAAAAGGCATTCTGAACATCTTTCATACATTTAAAAAGGAGGAGAAGGTACCACTTCTCCATGGCCTATCTATACACATACTATTGTAAAGATAATGTCTTAGTTGGGTCTACTGTAATAAAATGCCCAATAGGAGATGGCTTAAGAACATCATACATTTATTTTCACAATCTTAGAGACTGAGAAGTCCAAGATCAAGGCCTTGTCAGATTCAGTGCCTAGTGTCCTCCTAGATGGCACACACATGGCACCTTCTCACTGGTTTTTTTCACATAATGGAAGGAGCAAGAAACTTTTTTTAAGGGCACTAATCTCATTCATGAGGCCTATACTCTCACAACCTAATCATTTCCCAAAGACCTTATGATCTAATACCATCACTTTGTGGGGGTGGGTAAAATTTCAACCCATGAATTCTGGGAGGACCCAGACATTCAGCCCATAATAGGCACTATAACCATAAAAGATATTGAGAATTTCAAATAAGAATTAAAATTATAAATCTTTCATTCTGATGATTTTTAGAAACAGATACAAAATTCTTGGCTTTGGAAGAGCAAGAAACCTAGCAGAAGAGTAAAGCCTGGACAGGGGAGACCTCCCAACAAGAATGACTCCATGAACCTTCCTCCAAAAACGGAAGGCTAGACATAAGAAGAGTGTCTATATGATACACAACTTGAGTGAAATGGCAGTACTGCATATTCTAGAAATTGTTGTTGAAAGTTACAAGTTACCACTGTGCCATTAGTAATGAAACATAGCTTACAACTGTCAAAGAATATGTTATTCACAAGTTAATGCTGTATGTGCATCTTTGGAAGGATATAAAACAAAAGGTAAAGTCATGTAGTGCATGTTAAAGTGGGCATGTTTTATCATGCTTTCTTCAAATATTTACATAAAATGTGGGGGAATACATCCCTTAGAATAAAAACTCTTTTACTGAATACTCTAGCATACTTTTCACACAGGCATGTGTGTGAGAAGTTGAATTTTCCCTTACAAATAGTCTCAGGAAGGTATCCCTAATTAAAAATTGAATGGTAGGAAATTATCAATGAAAAAGCTGATAAAAAGAAGGATAGTCACTATTCATGTATTGAGGATCAACAAATATAGTGCAAATGCTGTGTACACATGTATGTAAATGGAAAAATGTTACCTGTTGAAACTGTTCTAGGAATGGGGAGAGAAAGAGGATAAAGAAGAATGATGGAGACAGTGAATTCAAGTATGATATATTTGATATATTGTAAGAAATTTTGTAATGTCACGATGTACCCCTACCCAGCCCAATAAAATTTTTTAATTTAAAAAATTTTTAAAAATAATTGTGTTTCTTTATCCATTCCTCTTTTGTATCTTACTTAAGATATCTGTGTACAGTCCAAATTTAATGTAAAGAGATAACTAAATTTAATAATAATACAAAATTAGATCCCTTTTTAGTTCTTACAAAGTCACATTGACATCTCAAAATCTCCACATTTCCATAAGATTTTCTAGCTAGAGTACGGCAGTGTCTTTTTTCTTATCAAACTACATCATTCAGGTATTAGGCTGACAAAGGGTCTAAGTGTAAACTGTAGGAGAATAGAGGCAGAAGTCTCTCTCACAACTGCATTTCTAGCATATAGCATAATGCCCAGCCCACTGTAAGTTCTCAATAAATGGCTGCTGAGCTAATAAGGAAAATCTGGGCTGAGTAAGAAGGAGATCATGGGGTAGGAGTTGTTAGATTTTAGGTTGCAGTGGGAACGGTGGTGAGAAATGAGGCAGAGTCTAGTGATGCTGAATATGCACCAATCCTGAGACTCACAACTGGAAAAACTTTAAAGATAAAGAGCATTCTTTAAGTGATCACCACACTCAATGGTACAGAGTATCCAGAATGGAGGTGTAACATGCTGAGGTTTGTAAGTGATTCTGAATGTCAGCCAGGTTTAGGAAAATGTTTCAAGAGGACTGAGTGCCACGGTAGGTATCTTTGTCACAGGCTTTCTGAAAGTTGTCCGGTACAATAGACGGACATTTGATAGCTGCATGGAGAGATTGTGGAATCCAGCAGAAGTTCAGTATTTGAAGAATCAGACGCCTGCCGTTGTGATATGTCACATCATGTTGAAAACGCTATTCGCATTTTGCAAATGAGGAAATCTCTGCCTTATGATCATGAGTTTTGTGCTGTGTTATCACCTTTCTCCAGGAAAAACATTTAGATATAGCAGATTCAGGTTAGAACTCAGTTGCCATAAACTCCAGCCTGGTGCACTCCCTCCTTCCTTACAGTGTGTCCCACAGGTTTCAAATCAAGGTAGATGAATAATCTTCAAAATCATAAAGCAACATTTAAATTATGGCAATACTATAAATATTATGCCTTTCTAAGGTAAGTGGTGCTCTTTCTAAGGAAAAAGGAAATAAGTGAGAAGTGATTGAGATTAAGGAGTGAAAGTCATCCATATTATTGGAGTGAATGTAACAATTCTTATTTAATAAAGCAATAAATTAGGTGCACAAATTACAATTCATTCTGCTACTATGGTTATATGAAATAACACTTGAGCACTTACTATGGAAGATAGAATTTCTTTTTTTGACCTAAAAACTAAAAAGCTTTCAGGAAAATTAATTGCATCCTGTGAAAGTATGGTCATCTTATATTTTTCAATTTTATGAGTTCTACCACCAGTTTCCTCTCTTTTTGTTCCTGTTATTATGTTGTTTGCCTTTTTATTTTTAAGCTACCTCAGTTGAAACAAGTTGAAAATAGGCAATGGTAGCAAGTGCTCCAAGAAGGGGCAACCCAACTTTCTTTATCATTGTGATTAAAGTATCCATGCTATATTCACAAAGTATATGATGTGCATAAGAAGATCAGCAGTTTTCTGACTTTGGTCAGGGCAAATTTACCTGAGCATGTCCATGACAACAGATTGAGAAAACTTATATGAAATAAATTCAAGCTCTTGATCTTCCTATCAATGTCATGTTTTAAACATGAAAGTGTAATGATGGCAATTTCAACTATTGTGATAGCTAGTCATTAAATTTTATTCTAATCATTTAGATTTTGAAACTTTTTACTTAAAATGGGCCCCCTAAAAAGGGACAGCTAAGATCAAAAGTCACATTTTTGTTTTGGAATGCAAAGAAAACCTTGGAAATGTAATAGAAATAGTGCCATATAAACAAAATTAGGTGCATAACGTACACAAAAGTTACCCAATTTTCTAGAAGTGTATTTTCAGAGAGTCTATTACATAAACTAAATTGAATAGTTTCCAGTTTCAAACAATAATGAGTCTCAACTCTCCACCCTGTATTCTCTTCCCCTCAGCAAACATTAACTCTTCAATGCCAGATTAATATAAGAGCATCACTGCAAATACCAGGAAATTCAGATTCAGCCCCATTTTTCATTAATAATTTAATATGCAAATTAAAAAGGAGAGTGCACACCACCTTCAACAACCAAGTTAAATAGCTTAGGTCAGTCCACCACTCCCAGGGGAACCATCCACAGTTCCATCTAATAATACCTAATTATTCATTTTGCCCCTCTCCTACCCAGATACCCTACCTGATAAAAAGCATGATTATAAACAGCCTGGATTTGTGGCATTGGACCTGGAAGGAGGAGGAGACTGGATTTTCCTCCCAGTTCTTCCAGGAGGACTTACATTCCCTGACCTTCAATATCCACCCCTAGAAAATGACAGGGTTGACTCAATTGATCCACCAGGTGAATAATGGACACTTCACACTATTATAATATATGCAAAGCAGAATTGCTATCAAAGCCACTTATAGCACTGTTTTAAGGTATAAAATTTAGTAGCTGTGAAAAAATATCACTCTACTTCAGAAATTAAATAAAGAGGATGTGAAAAGTCATGTGTTCAAAGAACATTTATTATTCTAACTGTTTTCACTTCAATAAATAATATTTACTTAAATGTGTAAGTTATGCACATTGAGAAAATCTAAATCAAACATCTTCCTAATGTTACCATTAGGAAACATTCTTAACTCCAAAGGTATACCATGTTGAATAAGCAAAATATACCTTTAATGTTTTAGACACACACAGGTATATTCCACTTTTGCATGTGAATTGTATCGCTTTTCTATGAAACACATAACAAAGATTTCCAAAGTGTGTATAGGAATGGATGAATTAGGAAAAGCAAGTTTAAAGTTAAGGCGATTTTAAGTGTTTTTAATAGTAATAATTTTTTTTCAAGCCTCACATCTCAAACTGTTTTAACTCCATTTACTCTCTTTGCCACCTACACACCCACTCCTCTCTCTCTCTCTCTCTCTCTCCCTCTCTCTCTCTCTCTCTGTCTCTCTCTCTCTCTCTCTCTCTCTTTCTCTCCCTCTCTCCTTTCTCCCTCTCCATCCCCAGCGTTTCCTAGCACCTTTCCCTTGGCTGGTGCACTCCTGGTGCATCCTTCCTTTCAGCCTCTATCCACTACTTTTCTAAGCTACTCCACTTACTGTGCTCGTACCTGTCAGCGCTGAGGGCAGTGAGAGTGAACACAGAAACCCCAACGGAGGTGAGCTGGATGGCCGGGATCAGTTTGCAGCCCACCTTGCCGAACACCCACTCATCAAAAAAGTAACGCGAGGCGTCCACCGGGACGCAGGTGAGCAGCAGCAGCAAGTCCCCGGCTGCCAGGTTAGAGATGAAGATGTTGGGAACGTTCCTCATGGCGCTGTTGGTGATGAAGATCTTCACCAGCATGATGTTGCCCAGCAAACCCACCGTGATGATGAGCAGGTAGAGCGACGGGATCACACAGCGGATCACCAACTCCGCTGTGGTCCCGTCGGAGCCAGCCAGGACCTCCTTGTCCCACACCTCGGCAACTAAACCAGTCTCGTTCTCCTGGATCACCAGGGAGAGATTGGGAGGCATGGTCTCCTTTCCCCGAGGGTCCGCTGGAGTTTTCATGCGCCCAGGTACTGGGAAAAGTGCAATACGCACGACGTATGCGTATTGGATTTCCCTCAGGCCCTGGCAAGTTCACTGCTTCCCGGGACCGCGTCACCCCGGTGCGTGCTGGAGAGGACTGGCCTGGTGCACTCGCTTGAATGCTTCACTCCACGAGAGGTTACACTGGCTACTGCTAGCTCAGAATTTAAGTTTTGCCAAAAAGCAAAGCAGTTGCGTCTTTGTTCCGTCTTCAATGGCTTGATCTCGCTTTCTTGCAAGCAAAGAACAAAGATCTGCCCTCTGGGATAATTAGAAATACCTGCCTGACACTTCCAGTCCAGTGGAAGTCATCCTGGCGCTGTCCAGCCAGCCGCGCTGAGGCACTGGGAGCAAGGGTCTGACAGCCAGGCGGGCTTTCAGCCTTGCGCTAGTTTCTGCAGACCCCGTGTGGTATCGAGAAGAGTGGAATCCTTTCTCACGCACTGTCAGCCTATATACTGTCATCCTTACCCGCCTCCAAGCGGGAGGAGCCCTAGGCAAGAAGTTTGTGAACCTCTGAGGATTTAGGAGGTGAGCTGGCAAGTCACCAATGCAAAAGAGTGACAAAAAATAAAGTCAACGTATGAATCTCTCTGCCCACTCTTCTTCTATCATCCTCTTTTCTTGCCCCACATTTGGAAACTCTTCTTTTTAAACTTGCATTTCCATGAATAAAGTACACATTTCTTAAAAGCAGTGCTCCATCTCACCACCATTCAGAAAGAGCAATTTAACCAGAGACCTTTATTCTGCCTGTTTTCATCTTAAGTTAGGTTGCCTGCTCTTGAATATCATATAAATGTAATCATTCACACGACTTTCCAGTCTAGCTTCTTTCACTCAACATTATATCTGTGCCACCCATTGCTGTTCATGTAGCAGTTTTTCATTTCTGCATAGTATTTCCTTTTTATAAATATGCTACCGCTTCTTATCCATTCTCATGTTGATTGACATTTGCATACTTCACAATTATAGGTGTTTTTATTTATAAACTTAAGGTCTTGCACTACACCATTTGATCCACAGCCCCCCCTCCTTTTTTTTGCTTTTTAATTATTTTTTTCAGATAAGGTGTCCCATTTGTCCTAGGGCCACCCTGGGACTGCGATCCTCTTACCTATGCCCGCCATGTAACTAGTGTCACAGGCACTGCCAGCATGCCTTGCTTATTGGTTGAGATAGGGGTCTTGTCCCAGCTGGCCTTGAACTGCAATTCTCCAGATCACTGCCCCCTCAGTAGCTGGGATTATAGGTTTGAGCCATCATGCCCACCCCAATTGAAGTAAAGTTTCTGTAACATTCTTATACATGTCTTCTGATGCACATTTGAATTAATCCCATGTGTGATTTTATTAGTTGCAGTGCTTATGTTCATATGTAGTAGAACTGACAATCTTTCAAAGCCAATTATTGACTCTTTTTTTCCCTTTGGAACCTAGTTTGATAGTATCCATTGAGGCTGAACATGTGTATGCATACAATTGAGGAATACTAATCCTAGGTATATACTCAATAAAGAAACGATACAGTTTCTTTTCTGAGGCAAGGTCTCACATGTTGCCTATGCTGGCCTTAAACTCTCCTGGACTCAAATTATCTCCTACTTCAACCTCCGAAGTAGCTGGGACTACAAGAGTGAACCACTGTACTCTGCTTGATAGTTATTTTAAACAGGGATGTTCCTATGAGTAAAATAATTTCCCAAATCACCACCATCCAAGTCTAAAATAAACTGCTCAGACATGGTGGCTCCATTTCTGGACGTAGATAGATAACACTCTTGTCATTGGGAAAAATATTTGTCCTTGGTTATTAAAAGATAAGATTGTGCAGCAACAAGGAAGCTAGCCAAGAACCAACTGCATCTACACATAAGCTGATAAAGTGTGTACATGTGCAAATTTTTCAGACATCATCACCAAGAGCAGTGGTTCATTGTCAGAGTTGAATTAGACAAAGTAAATGTTTGCATTGTAAACAATTTTCTTGTTTTCCAACTCAATTGCAATTCTTTATTATACTCTTCTCAAATTTAACTACTTTAAAATGACCCATTATAAAGTTAAAATAGCTAAATAGAATTTTCATTGACATTTATATGAAATATGAAATATTTTATTTGTATATCTTAAATATATAGCTAGGTAATTAATATTATATATATTGAGATATGCCTCTATAAATTTTGTTTTCAAGGTTAAGTTTTCTCTTTTAACATCCAATTTCAGTATACAAAAAAGATTTCTAAAACAATTTACTAAATTATGAAAGTCAAGTTTTCACAATGCAACTTACATGAAAAGATACTAAAATCTAAATTATTATATAAATGTCTATATCCTCCTCTGATTGTATCTATGTAACAATAAGATTTATTTAAGAAAAAATGTTTGATCCAAAAACAGTATGAATATCCAATTGCCTTGTATTGTAGAAATAAGGATTTTATATTGAATTTTTTCTATTTCAAGTAAATCTGTATTTATTTACTTAAAGGTTAGGGTTTATGGTAGTGGAGAATATAGTGAATATTTTAATGATATTATTAATATGTTATGAAATATGTAATAAATCTATCATAATTATTTAACCATTATTTATATGTATCACAAAAATCACATATAAGAGTGTGAGTATTGTCTCATTTTTTATACATATCAAAAGTAAGCATTCACAAAATATAAACTTTTTAAAGTTTACTCAATTTGCTATACACAATCTTAGGTTCATGTTTCCCTTAATATTTATAAGTATTCCTTGAGATAGGTATTCTGGTCTTCATTTTACAAATAACAGAATTAAGATTCATTGATAAACTAAAAATAAGATGCCTAATTTCAAAAAGACATAAATAAAATTGTATTTTGAAACTTATGTGAATTCACATAAATTTTATGTTGTATCTCATTGTTCCCAGAGAAAAAAATTGCATAAATAAAAGAAATTTCTATATGACTGAAGGCTGTACATTTGATTCTGAGGTATTTGGTGTTCATAAAATATGCATTATACATTTTATTGTCCTTATATTAAAATTGTTTGGAACTATATCCTGACCATTTAAAATTCATTGATATGAGTATTATAAGCAAATTTGAGCAATTTGAAATTTAAACTGATCTCATAATCCTCTACCCACCCCATTGGATTTTCCTTCAGGGTATTATGAAGGAAACATCAAATATTATGCTTATGAAAACATTGTATAGATTTCCCTTTAGATCATGAACAAGACAAGGATAACTACCATTATCATTGCGATTTAACACAATAGAGGATATTCCAACTAATGGCATAACAACAGAAAAGGAAATGCGAAGCACAAAATTTGAAAGAAAGGGGACAACAATACACAGTCATGATACCAACAGTGAAAATGGCACAATAACAGAAAAAAAGTAAGAGAATAGAAAGTCCAAAGACAGTTACATGCAGATAAGGAAATGTATTTAAATATGTCCTGCTTCAAATGAACACAGAAAAATATGGACTACATAATAGACAATATTGAGAAAAACAACTCACATTGCAGGGAATAAAACTATTTAGAACTTCATATAGAGCTAGAATTCCACTGCATTAAAGGTCACAGTTTGAAAAGTAGTCTAGAAAAAATAATAGGACCAAGAGGATAGGATAGAGAGTAACTTCTACTTCAAGATGAAACAGAAAGTATTAAACAATTTTTAATACAAAAAAACTATAAGACACAATGGTTTTCAGACTTTGAACAAGAGACAACACAACACATTGATCCCTGAGATAGGGAAAACCAATTAAGGGAGCACTATAATTAAATATACTGCCTGGAGGAAGAGATTCTAGGCCATGGACAAGTATCAGGAACCCAAACTGAGCTTGGAAGTTCTCTAATTTATGAAGATGAAGTTGGAATTTCAAGGAGACCAAAAGTACTAGAGAAAAAAGAGTTGCATAGAGAGATAATTTTGGAGATTCACAAATGGTTCTGTGTTGAGTTTTCAGCTAAAAGCTTGTTTACATGTGCATGTGAGGAAATTAACCAAACCTTCTGAAAGAACTACTCAAAAGTGCAGGAAAACAAGATCAATAGATCAATCAGTGTTTTAAAGAAATTGCCAGAAAGTAAAAAATATTCAAAATACAGGGCATCAGATAGGTTTCTCAGAAAGTTATTGTGTCCATAGTCAAAAACAATGTACTAAAGTCTTTTCTGATCTTGCCTTCCAAGTAGAAAACTACAACTAGTAATAAGGAAAAAAATCAGTTATTTGAAATCAAACCAATAATAATAGTACATATTATATAATAAATAGATGAGGACATTAAAGTGGTAATAAAACTATGTGTTTGAGATGGAAGAGGAAATCACTAGCATATAGAAAATATAAAAAGATATGTATATTTAATTTCTACAGAAGAAAAGCAATATGATAAAAAATAAACTTTATACAATTAACAGAAGGAAAATATTGCAGAAGAAACCTTAGTGAACTTAAATGTAATAACATATACTCTCCAAAATGAAATACAGAGAGGAAAATGTCTTAAAATTTTAAAGAGTACCAGTATACTATGGAAAATTTTAAGTAGCCCAATGTAACATTAACTGGGTCACTGAAAGATAGTAGAAAAGGAACACAGAAAAAGAATTTTGAAAATACAGTGGCCCCAAATTTTCCATACTTATTAAAAACTAAGAACTCCCATATCCAAGAAGCTAAACAAACTTCAGGCAGAAGATACATGAAGAAAAATTTACCAGAGTTTACCAAAAATTTACCAAAGCTTCATGAGACTCTTTCTCATGAAGATCAGGAACAAGGAAATATGTCCCCCCTCACCATTCCTCTTTAACATTGTACTAGAAGTTGTAGACAAGGCAATAAGACACGAATAGGAAATGAGATACACTAATTGGGAAGGAAGAAATAAAATTGCTTGTATTAACAGATGACATAATTGTCTATGTAGAAAATCTAAAAGAATCAACAGCA